AGCATGTAAGCAAGGCAGGCAGAGCTGGGAGACAGAGGTTTTGCTTCAACAAGGACCTCTTTCTGGCACAGAGTAGAAGCTATGAGAACATACACGGAGCAGCCAGATGATTATGATCCCTGAACACATAATAACCTGGCTACACAGTGTGTGTGTGTGTGTGTGTGTGTATGAGGCCCAGTGCATGAATTTGTGCATGGGTGGGGACTGGCCAACCTGGCCAGGGGAGGGGACATGGGCGGTTGGCCAGCCTGCCTGCTGGTTGAAATCCTAGTCGAGGGGACAATTTGCATATTAGCCTTTTTTAATTATGCGTTCGGAGATCATCATCATCTGGCCACTCAGTGTATCGATACAATTAGAAGGCAGTGGGCAGACCTGGGTGGGTGGGGCCAGGAGATGGGAGACAGCTCCTGGGCAGGCGAAGTGCAGAGAGGACAGACAGAGCTGTTGAAATTCAGTCTCGGCTGCAAGTCTCACCGTCAGCACCAGCAGCTCCGGAGCCCCAGCCCCAGCCTCCAGCCTGTAAGAGGTGTGGGGTGCGCAGCCCGCACAGGAGCCATGGGCGCTGGAGGGCGCGGCGGAGTGTGCGCAGCTGGATCGTCCTGGTGGGCGGAGGGCGAGCTAGCGAGGAGCCCCCTCCCTCCGGTCTGGAGTCCGTGTGGACAAAGGCAATGGTTTTCTCATTGTTGTGGGGCCCCAGGGACTCTGGGAGGGTGGCAGATTTGGGGGCTCTGTGCCAGGCGGCACCTCTGCACCCATCTCCCTGGGGGGATGCAGAGGAACGGGGTGCAGCCAGCCGGCGCGCAGCTGAGAGCAGCGGCTCTGCTATTAATGTAGTCGGTAAATAAGTAAAGGAGGGCTTAAGCTCCGTGCACTCAGTCAGCTCCGAACTATGGGGCAATTAGCGCAGCGGGACTGCCGGGCAGGCGGAATGAGCGAGTTCACTTTCACTGAGGCACCCCGCGGCGCAGGCGCAGAGAGCACAGGCGGCCCCCCCCCCCCCGCCCCCAGCCCGAGCCCGCCCCCACAGCCCCGGAGGGCCACGGCCTGGGAGGGGATCGTGGGCCCAGAACTGCTGAGACCATTGTGGCAGGGGACCACGTGTCTGCATGCACACTTGTGCACGCACATGCACACATGCTTACATACACACACACACACACACACACACACACACACAGCGATGCCCAGGGAGCTCCCTGCCTGCGATGAGCAGTGTCCTGTGCTGGCTGCTCCTTCCTTTGCACATGGCAAACGCCATTCCGATGTCTCTGTGCACTGACATGACACACGTGAGGGAGGCAGGAGTGCCTCTGCCGTGGCCTCTGCAGCCGGGGACACGCATGCACACGGCCTGGGCGGGCCGGCCGTGCACCCGGAGTGGAAGGTCTCACCCTCCGTGGCCATTGGATGCACATGGCCTCTCTCTTTCCCTCCCGCTCCACCCCCTTCTTCTATTTGTTTGTTCAACGAAGGGTCCCTGGGTGTGTGCCATGCCCCGGACAGCGCCAGGCTGAGCACAGGGAGACGTGCAAGACACATGGCTTGCCTGCGGGAAGCTCCAAGCCGGGCGGTGACAGCGAAGGAGGCAGGTGCAGCCTGCAGGCACCGTCCGCCCGGCTGGGGCCAGCGAGGTTTCCCAGGGAAAGGTGTGTGCTGCGACCCGAGTCAGGAGACGCCGAGGTGGCCAGGCAGAGAGGAGGGGAATGTGCGCCGGCGCTGTCCCCCCAGAGCACACAAGCCCACGGGGGCGGATCTCCTTGTCTTCAGAACCGTCTGTGGTCCAGCCATCCGTCCGTCCATCCGTCTGGAGCGGAGCAGGGGCGGCCCAGGGCCATGCGGGCGATCCCGAGACAGGGCGGGCGGGCGGCGAGCACCGGGCCCATCACCACGGGTCTCGCCGGCCTCGTGCGGAGTTCGCGTCCATCCTGAGCGGGGAGGAGCCACCCGGCCTTCAGACGGACAGGACGCCGTGGGCGCTTCTGGAGGAGCCCTCAGCTGCTCGGAGGAAGCAGAGGCGGGGACGGGCGGGCGGAGCCTGCGCTCCTCCCGGTGGGGGCCCGGGAGCCTGGCAGTGGAGAGCTGGATGGGGACGCCGTGGCCTTGGATGATGCCACATTGAGCGCAGGCCTTCAGCTCGTCTCTGCCGGCTGGGGCTTGGGCAGAGGGGAGCCCGGAGGAGCGGCTTAAAGGAGGGCTGTTACGGCGACAGGATGCGACCCGTGGGCCCACCTGAACCCAACCAGCCTCGGCCAGAGGGACAGTGTGTGGAGGGGGCTCCGCTTCATATCCTTGGAGACACATTTGGGAGGAATGCAGCCCCTCCCCCAGCCGCCTGACCCCTCCTCTGACCCCAGCGGAGTGCCCTTCTGGCGAGTCCTGTCTGTCCGGGAGGAGGCTGCCCAGGGCTGGGCTGGGGCAGAGGGCAGCTGGGCCGGGCTCCGGGGGAGGGCGCAGGCCGGCGCGGGGCCGCGGAGCGTTCTCAGGCCGGCCCCGCCAGGGCCCCTTTCTCTCCATGAGATCATATCTGGGTCAAAGAGCATGTAAAGCAGGCAGACCCTGGCAGCCACACAAAGCCCATTCAGCCGGGGCCTATTCACGCACCCCCTCTCCCCCGGAGCCTGCACCGCAGCGACCCCAGCGCAGCGCCTAAGCCCCAGCTTTGATGTCCGAGAACAGAAAACGGCGATTAAATGTTGTTTTAAAGAGGCCGTGCTCGCTCCCTCCCATCTGTCAGGAGAAAGCGGAGGCCTAAGTGGGAAGGAGTGTGGGGGAGGAGTGTGGGGGAGGGACGGGGCCTGCGGGGGTTGGGGGGAGCCCCCAGGAGGGGTGAGGCCTGGGGAGGGCCCAGGACCAGGGAAGAAAGGGGTGGATGGATGGCTCAGAGGAGTGGAGACAGGGGCTTAAAATCAAACCCAATGTATTTCTGGCAAAGGATTGTTTCCAAGATGAGAAATATGGGGAGAAGGAATGAATGTGAGACAGGCACAAAAGCAAAAACAGAAAGAAAGAAAAAAAAAAGAACAACAAAAACACACACACACACACGAGAAAGGAGGAGTGGAGACAGAAGAAAGATCAGGTGAAAGGGAAAAAGTGGTATAGGGAAGGGAAGACGAGAGAGGAGCAGAGAGAAGGAAGGACGGGCTGGAGGGCCGAGGGCGCCCTGCGGTGGTGGTCCTGGGAATGGCGTCCGGCCGGTGTGCTCTCAATCCGGTTCCCTTGGCCCCTCGGGGACAAAGGGGCTGGGAGGCCCCTCTTCCAGTTCGTGCCCAGCAGGCAGGTGAGGCAAGGACAGGGCCCCCTACAGGCTGCGGTGCCGGAGGGTGCAGGGCGATGGCTCCCAGTGACCCCAGTAATGCAGGTCTGGTGGGCAGTGGTTCCCCGAATCCTGCCCCGTGCCCCCCTTCCCCCCGACAAGGCCTGCAGCCATCACCAGGCCAGGTGGGTCCCAGGCATCAATTCCCCACCGGAAGGCCCTGTGTCCTGGGCTGTAGTGGGAGATGGTGACTTTGGTCGGAGCAGGGCAGGCAGAGGCATTGGGCGCAGGCACTGAGCCAGCAGGCCTAGGACTGGGCAGACCTGGTTTCCTAGCTCCACAGCCAGGGCAAAGCTCCAGCCCCAGGGAGGGGAAAGGAAGGCCTCCTTGACCCAGAGACAGGGAGAGGAGGCGGGAGGGCCCCCCCTCCCCCGAGTTTTGAGGGAATGCTATATTCATTCTGCTGGTGGTGACGCTGGGCCTGCACCCCACCTCCCACCTGAGCCTTTCCCTCCGGTCCTGTCTCCTTTCTCCATGGGGCTTGGCTGCCACCGACCAGGGGCTTTAACAACTGGGTGGCAGCTTCTGGCTGAGAGACTTCTGACGCTTGCTGAAGCTGAGACATAAAAACGTCTCTATCAGTTACAGCCCTGCCTCTGGAGTCCTGGAGACACAAACCTAGCTTGGAATCGGGAGATGTGGATGCAGGTTCCAACTCCGCTGCTCATCAGCTGTGTGATCGGAGCACGCTGTGCCAACGCCAGCCCGGGAGCCCCGGCGGCCGACCAGCCAGCTCCCAAGGGCAGGGGCACCGGTGCTGCCAGCGCTGCTCCCGGCACCTCCCCCAGCCCCGGGCCAGGCACCTCCCGCAGCACCAGGCCAGGCAGCCAGGGGGCCAGGGGACCAGGGAACCAGGGGGATAGGGGGTCAGGGGACCAGGGGACCAGGGGGGCAGGAGGGCAGGGGGATAGGGGGGCACGGGGCCAGGGAGCCAGGGGGCTAGGGGGTCGGGACCAGGGGGCCAGGGGGGCAGGGGGCCAGGGACCAGGGGGGCAGGGGGCCAGGGGGCCAGGGAGCCAGGGGGCCAGGGGGCCAGGGGGGCAGGGGACCAGGGACCAGGGGACCAGGGGGCAGGGGGGCAGGGGACCAGGGACCAGGGACCAGGGGACCAGGGGGGCAGGGGGCCAGGGAGCCAGGGGACCAGGGACCAGGGGACCAGGGGGGCAGGGGGCCAGGGGGCCAGGGGGCCAGGGGACCAGGGGACCAGGGGGGCAGGGGGCCAGGGGGCCAGGGGGGCAGGGGGCCAGGGGGCCAGGGGGGCAGGGGCCAGGGGGGCAGGGGGCCAGGGGGGCAGGGGGGCAGGGGCCCAGGGGGCCAGGAGACCAGGGGACCAGGGGGGGCAAAGGACCAGGGGGGCAGGGGGGCAGGGGACCTGGGGGACAGGGGACCTGGGGGCCAGGGGGGCAGGACTGAAGGAACGATGAGCCAGTGCCTGCACCATGGGTGGTGATAGCACCGTCTGTACCTAGTTTTCTTTCCAAATCAGAAAACTATGACATGGAGCGGGTCTGTGCCCGGTAAATGGGGCATCGAACTGACGCACGGATACGGCTGAACGTGGAGCCCAGAGCTTTCTCTTCCCCCCGCAGACGGAAGCCTCGGTCCCTCCATGCCCCCCACCCGAGGAAAGGCAGAGAAGACACACCATTTCTCACACACAGGGACACTCGGTGCCAGAGACAACTGAATTAACTTTATTCTCTTCTAACTGCAGATTCAAGGTATACAACTGAACATCGCTATTTTCCTTATGAGACTTATAAATAAAAATACAAAAAAATGTTCACTACAAAAAAATCTACTGTTAGTAGGATGTAAAAAATATTCTCTTTGCTATAGAAGGCACAACTTCACTGAGTGACACATGGAGAGAGAAACCTGCAGCAGTAAGTTCATGTTTTCCTTTAAATGTTGTCAGAACACTGGAATTACAGAGAGACGCATCCATCTACACGAAACGAAGGCAGCGGCGCAGAGCTCACCCGGGACCGCACGACGGGGAGGGACGGCTTCGGGGCTGGGCGGGTGGGGCCGGCAAGCAAACCTGGGTCACCAGGCTGGGGCTGGGGCAGGGGCAGGGGCGGGAGTGGGGGGGTGGGAGTGAAACAAACCAACAGAAATGAGAGGGGAAGGTGGGGAGGGACAGAGCAGCGGGAGGGAGAGAGAAGGAGAGAGAGAGAGAGATTTGTACAAAAAAGTAACCAGTATAATTGAACAAAATTGGGCAACCTCCTAAAATTAGGCTAAGAGGAGGTGCTGAGGTAGACATGAACTAGAACAGCAATAATTAAAACACTATCTGTAACACAGAGCGATCGGACGGGCACTTGTGCTGTCACGACAAAAGACGAGCCACAAAAAAAACAGACGACGAAACAGAACAGAACACCCAAGCCGAAGGCTGGGCTTTGCTTGGTCCAGCAGGGCCGGGGCCCCCAGTGCTTTAATCACACACATATATGTATATATTTATATATATTTATCTCTATATAGATGGGGCGGGTGTCTCGGTGCACCGCCATGGCGCCGTCCCCTCCTCGCACGGATCATGCATGACGCCACGGGAACGGGCCCGAGGACACACGCCAGGGGGCACGTACCCTGTCTGCAACGCGGGCACCCGGGCCTCGGGGAGCAGGGCTGCTGGCTCACTGGCCGGGGGATGGGGAGAGGCCTGCACCCCTCTCTCCCCCCAGCCTCCCTCCTGGCCCTCTCCTGGCTGGCTCTGCCTCCCGCCCTCCCCACCCCTCCCGCCCCCATCCGTGTCCGTGAAGCCTCAGTCTGGCTGCGGAGACCCCACGGAACGTCCAGGCAGGCGCTGCCATGAAGCCCCCGAAGGAGGAAACGGGATGGGAGGGAGAGCTACCTACGTACCACAGGCCTAGAACCGACGGCTTCTTCTTTCTCTGCTCTGTCTCACATCCCCTGCTCTCCCTCCCGCTGGGCTGGCGGGGGCCGGGCCCAGACCTGCCCCCCGCCACTCTGAGCCCAAAGGTCCTCTCCCTCCTGGGCCTCTGCCCACAGTCCCGCGCCAGCAGCTCCCCGAAAGGGGCCACGCACCTTGCAAACACTGCAGCAGGGTTTTTCCCTTTTCTTTTTTTTCTAAACATGGAGAACTGTTCAGGCACAAATATGCAACAAGCCCACATTGCATCCCTGGATTGTACGGAGTCACTGCCCCCCCACCCCAGCCTCCCTCCCCACCCGCACCCCGACCCTCCTTCCTCACCTCCGTGGCCTCCTCCAGAGCAGCAGTGATAGTCACTATTTACATCTCTCTTGCTATACATCTCTCTCTATATATCTGTCTAGCCTACACACGGAGGATCTCGGTGCTTCGAGCGAGGGAAGGAGGGGCTGGGGAAGGAGCAGGCGTGAGGGCACTGCTGCTGGAAGCATCGGGGCCACGCCTGCAGGAGCGAGCGGGGAGGGGACTGGCCTGGACCCCGCAGACCGGGGAGCGGGAGGCGCTGGCCCAGGCCGCGGCGAGCAGGGTGTCCGCCGGCCACGGCCACAGGCCGAAGGCGGTCCAGGGCCCGATGGCAGAGAGAAGAGGGGGCCAAGCCACTGAGGCCTCCCCCGGGGGGGCACAGCCTCCTCCGTCCTGCTCTCCAAGCCCCCTCTGCCCAACACAGCAAAGGCTCCAGGTGATTCCTGGCCTCTCCTCGCCCTCAGGCCGGGCCACGGCGGCCTCGGCAGGCCCAGCACTCTCATCTCTGTGAGCAGGAGCCGAACAGGAGGCGCGCTGGCCTCTGTCCGGGTGTCGGAGGCTTTGTGGGGGCCGCGGGGGAACAAAGCAAGCTCCAGGGCTCCCACCCAGGGCCCTTCAGAAACCCAAGTCCAGGCCCCTCTCCCTGCCTCCCTTCTGGGGTTCCCAGGGCCCGAGGGGCACAGATGCGACTCAGGACCGCCTAGGGCTGCACTGCCTGGCCTCACACCACACACAAGCAGCCATGCACACGCACACGCACACGCACACACACGCACAAAGGGACATTTTGGTGGTGGTGGAGTTTTTTTTGTCTTTTTTTTTTTTTTTCCTATGCACATTACAAAAGGAAAGGGCAAGGGCCTGCAGAACTGACGAAGGAACTAAGGAACATTACAAAAATATTACAATTTGTAAGATCAGCTCCACCCTCTCAGCTGTGATGCAAAGGGGAGGAGGCCCGGCTGTGGGGCGGTGGGGCGGTGACAGTGTCAGCCAGGTCTAGGGAACAGTTTGATTTCTCCTCCTTCCCCACCGAAGTCCAATGCCATCTCGCTGTGAAGACACTGTCTCCGGGGACTCACAGGTCCCAGGGCCAGACTGCCCCCCTCTCCCCCCAGCCTGGGGGAGGGAAGCCATAGTGCACAATGAATTCCTACAGACGGCTCCTCTCCAGCCACTTCCCTCTTCACATTATAACCACGACTGCTCCAGTCACGGATTTCAAGTTTAGCTTTCTCCTTCCCCAAAGCACTAACTGATTATTATCATTGCAAAGTAGCATCCTCCCCATTTATCACTCCCAATCAACAGTCCAGCGACATGCCCCGCCCCCAGTCCTCTACCTCCCCCCCCCCCCCCCCCCCAGTTTTTAAGGCCTTCAAATCGGGTGGGCAAGCCTGGAGGGACGGGGGTGGTGTCAGCAGCACCCATCCCTCCGACTTCCCTGTGCGCCTCACAACGCTCCTCCCCACAATGCTTCTTCCCTACACCACTTTTTAAAACCTAAGACAGAAACGCAGAGAGAGAAAGGAAAGAAAACAACTCGGACAAATACAGCATGAGACGAAACAGAGGGCCCATCCCACGGTGCACACGAACAGGGCGAATGTGCTTTCATAAGCGGGGGCGGAGGCCGGGGGGAGCGGGCCCGGGGGAGCGGGCCGGGGGCCGCAGGCGGGCAGGAGGGGACAGAGGAAGGGCGAACAGAAGAGGTAGCTTTCAGAAAACAACACCCACCCCACCCACAGAAGCACGACGGGCGCATCCCTCGCAGCCAGGAAACAGACCGATTTTGGCAATGATTAACGCACACAGAGGCGGCCGCAACCAGAGGTGGGGTCGCACACAGAGGCGGGGCTGCGCAGACGCAAGGACCTGAATAACACAGGCCCTCAGACCCAGCCCTGTCAGAAAGGGGGGTTGTGTCCAGAGTGTTTTAGGCCGAACTGATGCGTTCATGCTGTGGGCAGAGCCAACAGTGACTCCAAAGGCCCCCAATACCCGCCTCGCCCTCTGCCCGCCTTCCGGGGACCCAGTCTCCACACCCAGGTCCCGAGGAATCCATCCTTCCGGCAGCTCCTTCCAGCTGGGAGACGGCTGCCCTGGGAGGGCTGGGGGCCGCGGCCAGCGGACAGGTACTAAGCCAACTACTCATGTACACAAGAAACAGAAAAGAACTCCCTCCCCATTCTCCCAGCCCCCAACCAGAAGGAGAGATGCAGGGGTTACAAAAGCTCACGAGGTCACAAAAAACTGAGGTAATTCAAGCCCAATGTGCTAACAGGGGAACCCAGACACACAAAAGAAGCAACACAAGGCCGAAGCGCTTTCAACAACTCCTCCTCTTCCTGTGGCCTGGCGGGGAGGGTGGGGGGCGAGCCAGGAATTCTGTGCCCTCTCTGGACCTGGGGTTCCCACTGCGCTCACCAGGTCTGGGGTGTCTGAAAGGTCCCCAGGATGACTCGACAGCACCCCTTGGCCAGCACCCTGACTGCCGGCAGGTGCCCCTTCTCCGGGGGAGGGCACACCGGGAGGACACCCACGGCCTCCCCTGGGACAGCAGCCCTCCCACCCACTCCGTCTCCCTGGGCCTGAGGAGGTGCAGGGAGCCCTGTCCGGGTGTCCGGGGACCATGTATCTGGAAGGATTTAGGTGTTTTTCCATCTGGGAGGCCAATCTCTCAGGACAGGGCTTCCTGAGGGCGGGTCTTCCATTTGCTTCTGTTCTCAGAGGCTAAGGTGGGAGGGAATGGGGCTCTGGGCTGGACACAGATTCCCCACGAAGGAGATGGGGGTGGGGGGTGGGGGAAGGCTGGGCACTCCCTGAACTGGAGGAGAGGAGGCAGGGGTCGGCGGGGACCAGGAGCTGGGGGAGGGGCAAGAGCCTTGAGGCTCCTGAAGACCAGGAGGGACATGCAGATCAGCAGAGCAGAGGGAAGCGACAGGTGAAATGAGTGAGGGAGGGGAAGAGGCGTCCTTCCCCACCCCCTTCTGCCCCCAGCAAACCAGCTGCCACTCTGAGTGTCAGCCAGCGCCCCCGTCCAGCCCCCCCCCTATCTGCAGGCCCGCTGCCCCCTTCCCCCCTCTTCCCCCCCGAGAGCCTCCATCTTCTAAGAAGGCTGAGGATGGCAGGCGGAGACTGGCTCTGACCCGGACACCCCTCACCTTCTTCTCAGACTCCATTTCTGGACATACAAGAGGGTGTGAGCAGAACAAAACCCCTCCACCCCCACCTCCAGCCGGGAGAGGAGGGACGGAGGCCCGGGCAGGGGCCATGGCGGGGCCGCCTGGTCCCCGGGAGCCCCAGAGAGACTCCGAGGCCAGAGAGAACTATCAGGTTTCCTTTTTCCTCCTTTTCCCTTCTTTATAGACACGTGTTCTTCCCCGACTCCACCTGCGCTAACGCCTCCTCCGCCCGCCCGCCCGCCTGCCCGCTTCACACGTAGCACAGGTACAGGTAGGTCTTCTCTATCCTCCAGTCGGGCGGGATCTCCTCGGGCTTGTGGCCCTTCATGTGCTTCTGCATGGAGGACAGGCTGGGGCAGTACTCGGTGCAGATGGTGCACTGGTAGGGCGAGGCGCCGTTGTGCGTCCGCAGGTGCTTGATCATGGCCGAGTAGTCCCGGGAGCGCTGGTGACACAGCTTGCACTCGAAGGGCTTCTCCCCTGCGGAAGGAGGGCAGAGGGAGAGCGGTGAGCGCCTCCCCTGGGCGCTCGGGGCCCTCGCCCACCCTGCTCCCGCGTCCCAGCACGGTGGGTGCAGGTGCACCTGGCGGGATAGCCCTCGTCACACATGGCAGCTGCGCGCCTGGAACACGCCAGTGCGACTTCGGCCTAGTCCTCCTGGCGTTTCCTGTCACTAAATAGGGGTGTCGAACTCAATCAGAGAAGGGGCCAAAATCTAAAACCCAGCCTAAATCGCGGGCCGAATGGTTTACTGAACAGTCATAAACTGTCATTGTGATGGAAACGCAGGGGAGTGCAGTGATGACAGCGCGGTGCGGGCCACATTGCAAGGCCTGGCGGGACGGATTTGGCCCGCGGGCCTTGTGTTTGACACATGTGCGCTGCATGCAGCCAGTGGGGCAGTGTGCACACAGCTCCCGCCCCTCCCTGGCCTTCCTCTTCCTCCCTCTCCCACAGGAGGGACGCGGGGGTCTGGGAAGGGGCCAGGGACGCCCAGAACGTTCTTGGGGATGGCCCTCCAGCAGTTCCTTCCAGGGGAGCGGGGCTACGGATGGTGGGGAGAAGGGGTGCGGGGAGATGAGGGACCTCGTCCTTCCAACATCTGCATCTGGGCTTGCGTATCCTCACAGGTTCCTAGAAACCGCACCAAACCTCGCCTTCCCTCTGGGGTTGGCATGGGGGACAGGACGGCTGGGGGCCTCCTGCTAGAGTCCCCTGGCGCTGAGCCGAGGAGTGAGGGAACCTTGTTCCGATACAGTAATTAACTGGCCAGCCATCTCCCTATCGATACTCCTCCATGCAGAGGGCCCCGCAGATAATGAAGTAATGAACAGCCGAAGTGATCTAACTATCGACCTGCTATTTACAATAGTCACTGCCAACGCATTTAATGATCCGCCTGCCAGGCCACATCCCCGACGAGGGCTAAGGAGGCCCAGGCCCCTGGGGAATCTCTCGGTCACTCTAGTGGCCAGCCGTGAGCACCCCATCCTCGCATGTGGCCAATGCGAGAAAGCAGTGCGATGGCGACACGTGTCCTCTGCTTCCTGTGCCCCTCTGCCCTCCTCTGAGAAGGGCAGCCACCTCCCCTCATCACAGGAGTCTTCCCAGGTGGCGAGACTACCGTCCACTGCACCTTATTCTCAGAGGACGTCCTTCTGAGGAGCTACCCGCCCCCAACCAGGGGAGGGCTGGTGGTGGAATGTGCAGCAAGAGGATCCCTGCAGGCCTGGATGTGCAGCACCTGCCATGGCCACGCTGTGACTACGCCCTCCATGGCCAAGGCTAAGCAACCACTGAATTTGCATTTGGGAAGAGATGTGCAGAACAGGCTTCCACCAGCACCCAGCACCCACTGTCCCAGCTGGCAGGCCTGGGCCCCGGGATGCTCCTGCTGGTCCACAGACGGACCCCAGGGAAACGTGTGGCTCACGTTTCTATTGTGTAAAAAGGAACATGAAGTCCCTTCATGAAGTCCCTCTGAAATGGCGAAACATTCCACACTTTTGGGTTTTTTACGTGTATCTGCTCCTCCAGTCTCAGAACCTAACTCTAACTTAGGACTTCTCAACCCGCCTCATAACCTAACTCAATACCCTCTCATTCCTCCCGTCAAGTAAAAAAAACTACCCTAACCTTCACTTTCAGCTACGTGGGGAAACGTACTTCAGGATTCACAGACAGACTTCATCCTGTGTGATCTGGGAGCCACTGGCTAAGGTTGTGGGAGGGCCGGTCTGGGCTCCTGGGAAGGGCTGTGGCCGATATGGCTGCCGCCGTCTTGCAAGGGGCCGTGGCACGCAGGTCAGCACACAGCGGGAGCCCCCCACCCGCCACCCCACGCAGGTCCCGGGGCCGCTCCGGCCCTCGTACCTGTGTGCACCCTGTAGTGCGTCTCCAGCTGGTGCTTGAGGCTGAACTTCTTGCCGCAGCCATTGCACTCGTAGGGCTTCTCGCCCGTGTGGATGCGCTTGTGGCTTTTGAGTGTGCTCTCGTCCCGGAAGCAGCTGCCACAGAACTCACACTCGTACGGGTGGTCGCCTGTGGGGACAGGGGCTGGTTCAGGGCTTCGCCTATCCCGGCCCCGCTCCAGGGCACAGCAGGACGACGGTGCCCGCATTCACCACCTGCAAACGCCACTGAGGGCCAGACCCCACCCTCTGCCGGCCCCCAGGCCATCCAACGTCTCACACATGTCTGTACCTTACTGTGGCCCAATGGTCACCCCGGGCCACGGGCCAGTCCTGGGAAAAGAGAGCACATTCGCTTGAGAGAAATAGCCATCCCCAGCAAGGCTAGAGCAGGCGTGGGGGCTCTGAGACCTGGCCTTCCTCAAGGTCAGGGGCAAAAGCCACTCCAGCCTGAGGAGCTGCCCTTAAGAAATCCCTCCAATTGGGAACCATGAGAACATTCTTCCAAAATGCCTTCTGCCCCTTCCCTCCTCCACAGTTTTATACAACCTTCTCTCTGCTCGGTTTTCTCTTCTCTCCCCAGCGAACTCCTAGTCACCCTTCAAAACCCACCTGTTTGGAAGCTTCTCTTCAGTCCCCCGTCTCCCCCCGTCCCCCGGCAAAACGAGGCTACACTTCCTTCCCTGTCCCCAAAGAGGAAAAAAAAGTCCAGCATTTTGTTCTTTTAGCAGCAGCGGTATAATTTTTATGGCACTTCCTGATGAAAATGGCCCAGATTTTTTTTTTTTAATAAAATAATATTTTATTGATTTTTTTTTACAGAGAAGAAGAGAGAGGGATAGAGAGTTAAAAGCATTGATGAGAGAGAGAATCATCGATCAGCTACCTCTTGCACACCTCCCACGGGGATGTACCCGCAACCAAGGTACATGCCCTTGACCAGAACCGAACCTGGGACCTTTCAGTCCACAGGCTGACGCTCTATCCACTGAGCCAAACCGGTTTCGGCTGGCCCACATTTTTGAGTGCTCACTGCTATATGAAAAACTTCACACGGCTCATATCACGTAATGACTGCAAGAACATTACAAGAAAGGTATTACTCTTATCCTCTTCTTACAGATGAGAAAGCGGAGATGCTTAGAAATGCTTAGAGATGGTCCTCAAGGTCACGGGCCATTCAGTAGCTGAGTCAGGGGTCGGATTCTGGTCTGCTTTAGGCTGGACATGGGACCATCTGAGATTGCTCACTGACAGGCTGCACTGACTCCCCGTCACGCCCACCGAGTTTCTAAGTGGAAGCGAGTGAAGGCCAAGGGGAGCTCCGTCCACCCCAGAGCCTCAGGACACCCCAGAGTGGGCCCTCGGAAACGCTGGGCGCAGGAACCAAGGGAGAAAGGCTTCTCCTCGCCCGGAGCCCACGCCCACCAGCTCCCCTCCTGTGCATCCCTGGAAGGTGAGAGGTCAGGGAGGGAGGGGGTGTAGGGGTTAACGACTTTGGGGTTTGTACCTAACGTGGGGGCTCCGGGGCTGCAAGGTGAAGACTTGAGCTACTTATTTATTACGGGAGCGAAGGCACAGACAATAAAGATAGATTGATCACCCCAGACTTTGTTCATGAATATTTAAATATCGCTGATTCGTCTTGTCACTGTAATTACAATTTCTCTGGGCCGCGTCTCCCACAACCACAGTTTATGGTAAAGAATGGCCCACTGTATTTCACCCGTCCCCCTGCAGATGCGCCGGGCTGCCAACCGTGTAATGTCCTCTGCATTTCATACATTTTCTCCGGCTGCTGAAGGTTTAAGTCATCCACAATGACCTACGTTTTTTCATTATCCCCATGTCAAACTGCGTGCGTGCCTGGGCATAAATTGTCCCTCTCGTTATAGACTCGCATGCCTGGGCCTTCACTTCCTCTTTAAAATTATATTTTACTCTCTTCTCTCTCTCCCCTCCTCAGGCCGCTACCCCAAGCTCCCCCCCTCTTGAATGCAGAGCCCTGTGCCCACATAAATTCTTGTCGCTTCTGATGGCTCTAGAGGGTTTTTTAAGGCTCTTTGGGGAGTGGATGCGGGGGTCTGCCCACTGGCGGGCTCTCTCATTGGTGAAAGATTTGCAAGAAGCCCCCAGGGCACAGAGGGTGGGTTGGGGAGTCGGACTGGAAAAGCTCAGGGAGCACAGCCGGCCCAAGGGGCACGCCCGGGCGGCCGGTCCAGGAGGCCCTCCCATGCACACCTGAGTGGTTCTCAGCACCTCCTCCCCGCCAGTCGCCGCCGGCTGCCAGCCCCATCTGACCCCAGGGGAGGGCACGCCCACCCAGACCCTGGGCCTCCTTAGCTGCATGAGGTCACCCAGTGCCCGTGCCCACGTGCCACTTGCTGTGCAGACGCTGCACACACGGCCCTCCTGACATTCAGCTGCCCCTCCTTACTGAACCCGCAATGATTACAGCTTTAATCAAGGATTCAGAATCCTCATCAAGACATAAATAAATAAATAAAAGCTAGGGCCACGGGAGACTTCAGCCAGAGCCGGTAATTAAAACGTACGCCACCGCCACCCGGCCGGGAAGCCGGCGCCTGCGCCCTCCCCTGCAGGGGGGGCCCTCCGCGTTTGAAAAACACGGGGCGGAGACAGCGAGGCCTGTTTGATCAGACTTTTATGAATTTAATTATGAAGTGGGTCACACGTTAAATAAGCTTAAATAGGAAATCTCCAGAGGCAGCCAGGGAAAGGAATAAGAAAAACTTAGCGCACACACACACACACACACACACACACTCACTCACGCACCCCCCTTTGGGAACACGGCAAGGACCTGGTCCAAAATCCTTACCCTGAGAGTTAATAGTGTCCATGTTGCCGTAATGTACACAAAACTGGCCGCACAACTCCAAATCCAATTTGTGGTATATGCTGATTAACTCGGCAGCCTCTTTAATGAGCTTGACATTAAGTACAGGACAAAGAAGACTCATGAGGGCCCCCTCCGGCCTGCCTAGTGCACCTGTGACCCCCGCCGCCTGTCCTCACCTGCGGTGTCCCCCGCTCTGGCAGGCCCGGTGGCATCCTCCCCGTCCCAGCCCCTCCCCACCCCACCCCACCGGCTCCTGGCCCCTCCACGCAGCACAGCTGAGAGCTTATTATATGACGAGCTGCCTGAATCAGGGATCCATCAATGCCAGGAGCGCGGCTGGACTAACTTACCAAACACAGCTGTGGATGCTAAACACCAGGCCCCGGCAGCAAATGGGCCAGGAACAACGGAATATTAATGAGGCATTGTGTGGGGCGCGCTCCGCCTGCGTGTGGCTGTGTGTACCGGCCCCGCCGGTGGCCATCGCCGAGCCTATGCGTGTGCACAGACGAGGCTCATGTACCGCGCTTCCGAGATTAAGCAAGTGCATCTCCCACACGAGGCCTCCTCCCCTCAGGTCTGAGCCCCCAAAGACACAGAAGCCTGGGACCGCTGACAGCTGTGCTCTCGGAAGGGGCCCGCGCCGAGCAGGGCGGAACCTGGGCAGACTTCGTGGGGCTGGATCAGGAGGCTCGGGGCTGAAGGGGACTGGCCCTCCTGGAGGAGGCTGACGTGGGAGCGCAGCGGGGGTGGTGTTGACGGAAAGGTGCATGGACCTGCCAGGGATGCTTACGAGGCATTGCAGAGACAGTCCTGCGGGCATTCCTTTGCCTGAACCCCGCTGTCTGGGACCTCCCCTGTCCTGTGCCACCAATTCTAAAGAATTCTGGGCAAATGTGGTGATGCTCGGGCCACGTGCTCCCCTGAACAGACTGGCATCCGGAAGCGAGAGCCCAGGCAGGCTCTTTGGTGATGCCCACAGCGTGCAGGATAGGCCACTCAGTCCCTGGTGAAGAAAGCCCTTCCCTTGCTCCGCTGAGCCTGTCACGGGTGGGAGGCCTGGGCTGCACACGAAGTCCCGGAGCTGTGACAAGACTCGGGGGTGAGGAGAGAAAGTGCCCAACCACCTGTTTGTGCACAGTTTTTGTGCCCTGTACACCCTGTCCCAAACCAGATAGAGGCGTGAGCAGTCCTTTATCCAGGACAGTCAGCAGGGCCCCGATTTTGTCTTAGAGAAAGGAAAGGATTTAAGTGATCCCTCCCCTTACGATGGGATCCGGGCCGGTTGCATGGGATCCGGGCCGGTTGCAAGGAAGCAGACCTCTTGACCAAGCATGCCATCCCCAAACCTACAGCGTGGTGGCACTGGGTCTGGCCTCGCTGTGCACAGCCCCTTTCCTCCCCGGCATCTGGAACTGGCCAAGCGGAGACAAGTCACGGCTCATCGTTTACTCCCCCAAGCAAGGCGAAGGCCCCGGATGGAAATGGCTTCTGTGACCGTGGAGCAATTGGGACCCCTTCTGCTCATCCCCTTGGAGCCCCAGGCCGACTTGGGGAACATGTGTCCATGGGGTGGGGGCCTGGGAGAGAGGCAGGCGGACTCTCTATCTGGTTTGTGACAGGGTATATGCTCCTGTCTGTTGGACGGGGCACAAAAACTGTGTGAAGGGGTGTGTGGCAGAGAGAACCAGAGACCAAGCAGTAGGTTTTTCCCAAATTTGTTTTGGGTCAACCTGTCTCTGAATCCCTTGGGAATATTTATTAACATTGAAGTCTTGCATCACAGCCCGTACGCAACAAATCAAAGTTTCTGAGAGGGGGACCCAAGACTGCATCTCTAATGAGCACCCCCCATTGAGCAGAGAGAGATGGAGAACCCTAGTTCCCCAAGGTGGATGGGAGAATCACCACCACTTATCTGCACCGCCCAATCCTTGAGACAAGAGCCGAGTGGAGGGCTAATTCTGCCCAGCACCCCCACTTCATGAGTTTGGCGGTAAACCCAGACACCGGTCCCCGGAGACCCCGCCCACCCGCAGTGGCCGGCCTACCTGTGTGCGAGCGCAGGTGGCGCTTGAGGGCGGTGTGGCTGGGGAAGGTGCGGTTGCACTCGCTGCAGATGTAGCTGCGCACGCCCGCGTGGACCTCCATGTGCTGCTGGAGGGCGCTCTGCGCCTGGAAACGCTTCCCGCACAGCAGACAGAAGACGGCCATGTCCGTGCCTGTGGAGACAGAGCGGAGAGCCTCAGGGAGCTGGACTGCAAGGCCATTCTTTACCCACCCGCCAGGCCCGCATCAGGACCGGTGCCCTCACGCCCCCACGCTCAGGGGCGAACCCGGAGGCGGCCCAGGACAAGCAATGATCACAGAGCACCCGGTATGCGATCCAGTGGGACCAAAACCCAAAGTCTGGTGGGGAAAGAGAAGCACCGATAACACACGCCACGGTAGCCAACGGGAGTCGGCAGTTGTATGGGGGCCGTCAGAGGCCCGGCACCAAAACCACGTCTGCCGGAGGGCCCTGCGGAGTCTGGGCAGGAGGTGGGATGTCAGGTGGCCGCTGTGAGGATGACAATAGCGGAGGTAACATCTGCCAGCCATTGTTCCGCTGTAACTATTGCAAAATGACATCACCCAACCGTGATGCTCCATCCTCACCCTCAGGCAAGGAAAGCCAGAGCGAAGCGCTTGTCCCAGGCTCCACGGCGTTCCTGAGCGGCAGAGCCGGTGCACCCGGCGCCCGGAGGGGGGGTCTCCCTTTCCGCTGCTGCTTCTGCAGACCCGCCGCTGCAGTCATTAAAGCACGTGTCTTAAGGGTCCATTCGCTCAACAAAGGCTGTTTTGGTGCCCTTGGCAAGCAGGACCCTCTTTTTGGCCCTGAGGCTGTCACCGTGGAGAAGGATACAAGCCCGGCTCTCATCACAGATGCCACCCGGCACTCGGGGAGGGCGGAGACCATACCCGGAGGCCGGGACAGTGGCTGCGAACACTCCGGGCCGGAGAGAAGCACGCAGGCTGGAGGGCCAGGCAGAAGAACGGGGCAGCTGGGAGGCAGGCGGAGGGGAGGGAGCCAGAGCAGCCGGCAGGGCCAGGCCGCGTAGGGTCTTGAAAATGGTATTAAGAGCTTTAGGTTTCATCCCAAGACCAAAGAGCAGTTTTCAAAGGGTTTAAGCTAACGAGGAACATGAGATGTTCATTTAACTCAGTCCAGCCATCCTGTGCCAACCCGGGGCACAGCGAGGCGGGCGCCCACGGTGACCTCCAAGACTGGCCGCCACTTCCTGTGTGTTTGAGCTCCTGCCCTGGGCTGCTCTGAGCCACGGCCTCTCGGGGGAAGCAGCCCCCGAGGAAGCTACGACCCCCGTCTGGGTCCTAACTGGTGGCTCAGTGGCCACCATTTTGGATTGTTTCCATAAGCGCGAGATCCCCCAGCAAGCCCCTCTGCTCGCTTCCCTCTGCTGGCATCCGGGCAGTATCAGCCTGGCTCACCCCGTGTGAGGGCCAGAGCGGGAAAGGTGGGCAGGCCTGGCATCTGTCACCCAGCCCCAGGGGAGGAAGGGGCAGAGCGTTGGCTGCCAGGGGCTGTGGCCTGATCGGTGTGGAGTCAGGGCTCCTGGTGGAAAGTGGGGTGGGGAAGGGTCGCGTAAGGAGCCCGGCTGCCTGTCTGGCCCACCAACGGGGGCGGCACGCAGGAGGTGTGTCCTCCTGCCTCAGTCCCATTCGTGGCTGCTGTGGGGATGGATTGGTGCGAAGGCAAGACCTCTCACTCCCCACAGGCCTCCACCCCTCACAGCCACCGGTGTAGACACGCAGAGACGAGGCACCTGCAGCCATGCTCAGCTCCTGCGCCCTGCGCCCAGGACCAGGCCAGGCTGAGAGGGACACAGCACAGGCAAGGGCAGGGACGGGCTCCCGGCCTCAGCGAGCAGGGTAGGGCCTGTGCAAGGCGCTCTGTCTGTGCTGCCGTCTCATTAACACGCGCTGCTCTCCACGGCAGGCACTCACGTCCCTTTACAAACGGGAAAGCAGAGATGAAATACCTCGCCCAAGGCCACACAGTGAGCAAGAGCAGAGCTGAGGTTTAAAAATGCCGAGGTCTGTCTGGTGTCAGGAACCACAGGGCTGGGCCCACGTCCACCTCTGGGGTTGCCACCCGTCTGCCCGGGCTTCTCCGGGAAGACAAAGCGGCAGCAGCAGCAGCGCCAGCCGCAGGCCCAGGAGCTCCATGCGCCCAGCGCCCGCCCAGCAATGCTCAGGACCTGGGCGGGAGGGGGGCTGGGACCGCGTCACGGACATGGCTCTCTGAAGGCTTCTGGACCCCGGCAGGAGCCGGATCCGAGAGGCAGGGGCACTGGGTTCCGATGGAGGGGGCGCACCAGGGGAGTGGGCTGTCCATGCAGAAGCGGACCAGCGCCCAGTCCCCGGGGTCCAGCCCATCCTGGCCAGCGCACCCAGGAGTGGAGTCCATCCCCAAGTCCTGTGACACAGCAGCCCTGGCTGCTTCACCCCGAGGCCCCAACACCAGCAGCCTCTCTGCCCCCAACGTCACCCCACAGAGAACCCGAGTAAGCCAGATGGCAAACAACTGCGCCAAGCCAGTTAAGATGGAGCCGGCTCGCGGATGAGCCAGGCCCAGGTTTTTTCTCAGGCAGCCCCTGGAATCGCCAGGGTGGGGAGCCTGGGTCAGGGGGAACACGGGGACATTCCCAGCGGGACAGCCAGGCCCAGAGGAGCTCTGAGGGCGGCACCACCTGGCAGGCGGCACTGTGTCCCTTGGGCCTTCCCGCAGCCTGGGAAGCTGCCCCACAATGCCACCCTCCTTCGGGGAGGCCTGAACCCGCCTGGGGCCCACCAAGCTGACAGGGTGCTCCCCGGCATAGACACTGTGACCAGGGAGATGCTGAGACCAACTAGAGAACAAGGCTCCAGGCTATTGGGGGACCCAGCCAACAAGCACCCTGAGGACAAGGCAGGCGGCTTCAGGAAGCTCTGAGACGACCTGAGAGAGGTTCTCAGTGGCTTTGAACAACGAGGAGTCCTGAGAAGCGAGGACCGGGAGGTGGGACACTGGGCTCGGGCTAAGGAAACACCACAAGCACCTTTCAGGGCAGGCGGGGACAGAGGACAGGCCCGGGAGAGGGAACGGCAGGGAAGGTCCCGGGGGACCCGGGGCCTTAATGGGGGTGGGACAGATGAGACGTCATTCTGAGGCGATGCAGGGCCGCGAAGGTGCGGGGGGGGCGGGCGGTGCTGGCATGATCCTTCTAGTATGTGAGGGCAATTACCCCGGGGCAGCCTGGGGACCAACAGCAGAGGCAGTGGCTGGAGGCAGGGAGAGAGCTGATGGCTTTGGTGCCCCCACTAGAAGAGGGTGGGAACCAGACCAGGGCAGGGGCTGCAAGGACGGGAGTGGAAGAATGACACCCAGGAGGTGGCATGGCAGGGCCTGGGGCCCGGGCTCACGTCAGGAAGCACCGTGGTCACAGGTCTAACATTAGACAGCTGCCACCGGGGAGAAAACAACGCAGCCGAGTCCCTCCTAGGCCCCTCTCCCCCCACCCTTCCTGGGACGACCAGCAAAGCACGGGGCTCCCTCTGGCCCCTGGAACACTGCTCTCGGCCCAGGGACACAGACTGGGGGGCTCTCAGTCCCCGCACCTGCTCTCTCCAGTCTTGTGCCTGGACACCAACAGCTGAAAGAATGAAAAAAATATTTTAAAAGAAAAAAAAAAGGAAAGGGCAGGGGCGAGGTGGAGGAGACATCAGGAAAGCTGTCGGGGCAGCAAGTTAAAAATCGAGGCCAGATCCGAGTTATTAACCAATTTGCTATCGTTTCTGCCTAGCTGATTGCCCGCATGTACGATGAGTCAGGGCAGATTCTATTACCCTGGGAGATTAAGCAAATAAATGCTGGCTTTTGGAAACACACTGAAACGTGGGACTAGGAAAATAAAATTATCTAGAAAATTCTATTAGCAATTCATTAGCTGCCGTGGGACGTTCGGCGGGGAGCAGCGTCAGAACTCGGCTCCAGTCCACAGGGGAGACAAAGGGGGCGCGGGCCTCCTGGCTCTGCCCCATCCCTGCCCCGCACCCTCAGCAAGTCACTGCCCTCCTGTGGGCCAGAGTGTGCCAGCCCTTGCCCTGCTGCCTGTGTTGTTGAGAGCACCCGTGTGAAAAAGCTCTACAGTCATAAAGCGGTGGCAGACCAGAGCCAGCCCAGACGACGCCTCCGTCTGAATTAGCAAACTGTGTCTCTTGCTCTGGGCAAACGCGGGCCCTCGCCCGCCTGGGCGCCCAGCTCCGCGAGCAGAGCGGGCTGGATGCCAACCGCCACCCCTGCAGCCCGGCGGCCCCAGGCCTGGACCACCTGGCCACGGCTCCCGGCGGCCTGCACCACCACAGGCCCAAGCTGCTTTATCGACTCCGGCCGCTGCTTCCAGGAAGCGGACCCTGCAGAAGGCATCCTGGCTGAGCCGCACCATTGAGCACTCGGTGCCAAGAACATCTTCCCCTGAGCCCGGGCGCTCCCAGCACATAAAAGCCCCGGCTCGCATTGATTTCCGACAGGAGGCTCTGCCTGCCCGATTGGAAGCCCTCTAAGCATGAGCTGTTCTCTTTATCCTCACAGAGCACGGGCCTGGCAGGGAGCAGTGAGGAGTGGGGAGCGGCAGGGCGATCACCAAGGGCAGAGGGACGGGCAGGAGGCATGGCCCGGGGCAGCGGCTAGAGCCAGGGCAGGTGCAGACCCGCTGCCCAGAGCTTCCAGCCAGACCCCCCTGGAAACGAGTAATGCAAAGCGACCCTCAGGCGCTGGCCTCTGGGGGCCCCTCATGTCTGTGTGGTGTGCTGGCGGGGGGGACGCCCCGTTCTGGCTCCCTGTCTGACTCTACAAGGACGGGTTTTACACGTCACACAGGAAGGCAGTGAGAAGCGCCCTGGCTCCGTGCAGCTGCGGCTGGGCCTCCCGTCCTGGTGGAGGAAACAGCGTTCGTAACCAGCCTGCCCTGGCCAGCACCGGCCACACCGCGCTGTGACGAGGCGACTGACAGGCGCTTCTGAGCCGCCAGGCCTAGAAATGTGCTGTTCCCCCTCAGTCTGTACACGTCCATGTCAGTCAGACACGTGAGTTCGCCTCAGTCCGAGGAAACCATTTACCAGGTGAAACCATAGCACTTCCTTCCTGCCGGGACTCCAAGGCTGCCTGCCAGGAGGGAAGCAG